CCTTGGTGAAAGAAATAAGAATAAAATCTAGCCTTTGGATCTGATGCATCGTGCGGCTCAGATTGCATTCTGCACTCAAATTTTGAGATAGTGCATTTTCAAAGGATTATGGTGCATTTCGACATGATGCATTTTCAAACCATCTTGGTGCACCTAATTTTGATGCAATCCTAACCCTTAGATCTCCCAATCTAATGCACCAGATTCATTCTTATTTCTTTCATTAGATTGCATTCTCACCTGAACCAAAATCTATATATATATATATATATATATATATATATATAAAATGTGGTGAGTTTGGCGTCATCATTGAAGCATGTCAATCTCACCATAAGGTGTCATGTGACCCGAGTCGATATATATAGGCCTTGTTTGGGAACATTGATTTTAATAACGTTAGCGTTTTGTATAATTTTTTTATAGTGCATATAAAGTTCGAAAATGCTAAATTTAAATACTGCTCTTAGATAGCTTTTTCAAAATGCTAAAACTGCTCTTAGATAGCTTTCACTATACTTACAAGTTGATCAAAACTGCGTATAAGTTATTTTTAACATAAAACTCAGCAAATGGCGTGTTTCTCTGTGCTTATAAGCTGACTTAATAAGTCAAGAAAATATAAGTCTAACCTACTTTTTTTAAGCCAATTTTTTCATTTTTCCATATAACCATATTATTTACAAAAACTATCCCTCATATATTATGAATATCAACAAATGACTTATTTATCATTTAAGTCATTTTATCTGCACGAAAGAATATTTAACTTCTAAGCATCTAATAAGTAAAAAATTGCTTATCCTCAATAAGCACCACCACAGAGAAACACCATTTAAATGTTGATGTCGTTGCTAAAAATGCCCATTAAAGTGTATAATTCAGATAAGTGTAGAACCATCCTAGAATTGACTCATCGCAATGTGAACACTCTACACACATGGATATGTTATATTCTCCTGCCTCACGAGAAGAATTCATATTGATAATTTTTCATAAAATAAAGACCGCACCGGAGTACTTGATCCCAAAAAGTCCTTATCTTTTAACAAAGACCAGACTAGTTGGACCAGTTTTTAAAAAATACCGAACCGATCATGTCGTAAAAAGTATCAATCTTTCTAAAAGAAGGGTCCGGTCCTTTTGCTCATCTCTAATGTGTAGGAATGAGTGACCTTT